CAATTAGTCCAGAATAAGGGCTCGACATTCGAATACTCCACAATATTCGAATGTCGAGAGGTTCGGACTCCGAACTTCGGAGCAGGTTCGGGAGATCACCGAGAGCGTAGCTTATTTGTCCTATCCTTGGAATATACCTGAGCTAGTGTCTGTCTGTCATGATTTTACGCCGTAATTTACGGCCTGTACTGTATGCCGCTATAAATAGCTATAAGAAACTCGAGGACCTGCGAACCAAGACACTTCTCTTGATGTTTGAATACCGCAAGGGTATTTGCGAGGGAAGTCGAAGGATCAATGAGCGTGAAACTCGTTTGTTCCACTCTTAACATATACCTAACTTTGTTTTTGCCCATCATAGGCAATGACCCGTCATTTTATTCGCGATGCTTAGGCTCAAAGAATGATAACCGGGAGGCTCAGAGAATGATCCATGATAAAAGCGGCGCAGAATAGTGGGAGATGACGCATTACCCCTTGCCGACATGCTGGGCAGTGGCAAGGATGATAGACGTGAAAAGGCCACGCTTTGTCATCGCACTCGTGAAGAGGGTGTGAGAACATTTCCCTTAGAGCAGCGGTAGCTCGGTCCCAGTTTGGGTCTGGCATGAACGGTAATACCGTTACGGTAAGTTGTTGCAGGCACTCCACGGTTAGTTTGCTTCAGTGAATCACTGAATGGTGCTATTCGTGCAAGTGCGTGTATGGAAGGCATCGCATCGGCGCGCTTATGAGATTCGTTAGCTCCTCACTCTCCGCATCTTTGTATATCGCCTGCCTTAGTGCCCACGGTTGCCATTCTTTGTGTATTATGTCTGCTGTTGAATATACTCTGCTGGCCTCTGGATATCAAACCAATATAAACTCAATATATCCTCCATTTTAAGAAGTTTCTACGCCCATTAGTTACCCTTGTCATGGAAGTCGAGGACAACGAGCCGACCAGCTGCGGGGAAGTCAGGCCATTGCTCCCCAAGGAGTGGATGACTTCAGCGGCGATCTCGGGGGAGGCGGCTAGAGAGTTAACCATGGCAACCACATCCTCGTCCGGTTGGTAGAACTGCACAGGCGCTGCGTGCGCAGCTTCTTGTTGGTTGCCGTTGTCGCCGCCGACGAGATCGTGGCCGCCATTGTTGTCTTCGACGCGAATGTCAATATTGCCGTTCCCATCAGGGGCACCGTCCATTGGTTAAATAAATGGAGAAGAAAAACGAGCCCGCGCCGCAACTGCGGAGGGAAGGTATACATATATCACGAGCTACTCACAACTGGCCTGGAGTACAGGCTACGAAAGCCTCCTAGATGTTTCTCGCAATCGTAAATATGCAGTACTGTTACGGTCTACTTCGCTCGCCGACGACACAAGTTACCGCACTCTCGAATTTTTTTGTGTGGTTGTTTCCGCACCGGTGACTCTGGTCTTGTAACTAAACTTGATTACTTCGTACCATCACTTATGGGATTTCCATGCTGGGATGGTCATACAGACAGCGTCATACGATATGGGTTACTCGTCATCGATGA